AAAAAAGAAATAACTAAGATCTGAGCAAAACTGAAGGAGCTAGAGACCAAAAAAGCCTTCAAAAAAAAAGTCAATGAATCCAGGAGCTGGTTTTTTGAAAAGATCAACAAAGTAGATAGACCGCTAGCCAGACTAATAAAGAAGAAAAGAGAGAAGAATCAAATAGACACAATAAAAAATTATAAAGGGGATATCAACACCAATGCCACAGAAATACAAACTACCATCAGAGAATACTACAAACACCTCTATGCAAATAAACTAGAAAATCTAGAAGAAACAGACAAATTCCTAGACACATACACCCTCCCAAGGCTAAACCAGGAAGAAGTCAAATCCCTGAATAGATCAATAACAAGTTCTGAAATTGAGGCAGTATTTAATAGCCTACCAACCAAAACAACTCCAGGACCAGATGGATTCACAGCCAAATTCTACCAGAGGTACAAAGAGGAGCTGGTACCATTCCTTTTGAAACTATTCCAAACAATACAAAGAGAGGGAATCCTCCATAACTCATTTTATGAGGCCAGCATCCTGATACCAAAACCTGGCAGAGACACAACGCAAAAAGAAAATTTTAAGCCAATAACCCTGATGAATACCGACGTGAAAATCCTCAATAAAATACTGGTAAAACAAATCCAGCAGCACATCAAAAAGTTTATCCACCATGATCAAGTCAGCTTCATCCCTGGGATGCAAGGCTGATTCAACATATGCAAATCAATAAACATAATCCATCACATAAACAAAACTAACGGCAAAACCACGATTATCTCAATAGATGCAGAAAAGGCCTTTGACAAAATTCAACAGCACTTCATGCTAAAAATTCTCAATAAACTAGGTATTGATGGAACATATTCTCAAAACAATAAGAGCTATTTATAACAAACCCACAGCCAATATCATCCTGAATGGGCAAAAACTGGAAGCATTCCCTTTGAAAACCGGCACAAGACAATGATGCCCTCTCTCATCACTCCTATTCAACACAGTATTTGAAGTTCTGGTTAGGGCAATCAGGCAAGAGAAAGAAATAAAGGGTATTCAACTAGGAAGTCAAATTGTCTCTGTTTGCAGATGACATGATTGTATATTTAGAAAACCCCACTGTCTCAGTCCAAAATCTCCTTAAAGTGAAAGCAACTTCAGCAAAGTCTCAGGATTTAAAACCAATGTGCAAAAATCACAAGCATTCCTATACACCAATAACAGACAAACAGAGCCAAATCATGAGTGAACTCCCATTCACTATTGCTACAAGGAGAATAAAATACCTAGGAATACAACTTACAAGGGATGTGAAGGAACTCTTCAAAGAGAACTACAAGCCACTACTTAAGGAAATAAAAGAAGACACAAACAAATGGAAAAACATTCCATGCTTATGGATAGGGAGAATCAGTATCGTGAAAATGGCGATACTGCCCAAAGTAATTTATAGATTCAATGCTATCCCCATCAAGCTACTATTGACTTTCTTCACAGAACTGGAAAAAACTACTTTAAATTTAATATGGAACGAAAAAAGAGCCTGCATAGCCAAGACAACTCTAAGCAAAAAGAACAAAGTTGGAGGCTTCACTCTCCTGACTTCAAACTATACTACAAGCTACAGTAACCAAAACAGCATGGTACTGGTACCAAAACAGATACATAGACCAATGGAACAGAACAGAGGCCTCAGAAATAACACCACATATCTACAACCATCTGATCTCTGACAAACCTGACAAAAACAAGAAATGGGGAAAGGATTCCCTATTTAATAAATGGTGTTGGGAAAACTGGCTAGCCATATGCAAAAAGCTAAAATCAGATTCTTCCTTGCACCTTATATAAAAATTAAGATGGATTAAAGACATAAACACGAGACCTAAAACCATAAAAACTCTAGAAGAAACCATAGGCAATACCATTCAGGACACAGGCATGGGCAGAGACTTCATGACTCAAACACCAAAAGCAATGGCAACAAAAGCCAAAATTGACAAATGGGATCTAATGAAACTAAAGAGCTTGTGCACAACAAAAGAAACTATCATCAGAGTGAACAGGCAACCTAAAGAATGGGAGAAAATTTCTGCAATCTATCCATCTGACAAAGGGGTAATATCCAGAATCTATAAATAATTTAAACAGATTTACAAGAAAACAACAACCCCATCAAAAAGTGGGTGAAGGAGATGAACAGACACTTCACAAAAGACCACATTTATGCAGCCAACAAACATATGAAAAAATGTTCATCATCACTGGTCATTAGAGAAATGCAAATCAAAACCACAATGAAATACCATCTCATGCCAGTTAGAATAGCAATTATTAAAAAGTCAGGAAACAACAGATGCTGGAGAGGATGTGGAGAAATAGGAACACTTTTACATTCTTGGTGGGAGTGTAACTTAGTTCAACTCTTGTGGAAGACAGTGTGGCAATTCCTCAAGGATCTAGAACCAGAAATACCATTTGACCCAGCAATCCCATTACAGGGTATATAGCCAAAGGATTATAAATCATGCTACTATAAAGACACATGTACATGTATGTTTGTTGTGGCACTGTTCACAACAGCAAAGACTCAGAACCAACCCAAATGTCCATCAATGATAGACTAGATAAAGAAAATGTGAGACATATATACCATGGAATACTATGCAGCCATAAAAAAGGATGAGTTCATGTCCTTTGCAGGGACATGGATGAAGCTGGAAACCATCATTCTCAGCAAACTAACACAAGAACAGAAAACCAAACACCGTATGTTCTCACTCATAAGTGGGAGTTGAACAATGAGAATACGTGGACACACGGAGGGGAACATCACACACCGGGGGCTGTCAGGGGGTGGGGGAAGGGGGAGGGATAGCATTAGGAGAAATACCTAATGTAGATGATGAGTTGATGGGTACAGCATACCACCATGGCACATGTATACATATGTAACAAACCTGCATGCTCTGCACATGTACCCTAGAATTTAAAGTATAATTTAAAAAAAAAAAAATGGAAAGATTGTTTAAAAAAAAAAAAAGCGAAATAATTACATTTGCAGCAACCTAGATGGAATTGGAGACCATATTCTAAGTGAAGTAACTGAGAAATGGAAAATCAAACATCGTACGTTCTCACTCCTGAGTGGAAGCTAAGCTATGAGGATGCAAAGGTGTAAGAATAATACAGTGGACTTTGGGGACTCAGGGAAAAGGGTGAGAGGAGGGTGAGGGATAAAAGACTACACACTGGATACAGTGTACACTGCTTGGGTGATGGGTGCACCAAAATCTTACAAATCACCACTAAAGAACTTAGTCATGTAACCAAATGTCACCTGTTCCCCAGTAACCTATGGAAATAAAAAAAAAAAAGAGAAATTTAAAAAAACCTTAAACATTCTACATACATTTTCCCCCAAGAAAAAGCTGGGTGCTATCCTACAAATCAGAGATTTAGGGTTTGGAAAATAAACATTATGACATTTAAAAAATACTACACTATATACACAGTTTTGGAAATTCTTTATGAAATTATCAGAATTTCCACCTGGTTTTCTATATGCAAACTTATTTCTGCCTGTACACCCACATTCAAACTCTTACCTCCACCCCACAGGCAGTTCTAGTCTGAGGTAACAGTTCAGTCGTACCTTTCGGTCTTAGCAATGTCATCCTTGTTTGGTCCACCTTCATCACTGCTTTTGCCTACCATCAAAGGCCTATCAGAAACGGGCATGGCTGACCCACTCTCATCTATTTTAAGCCACAGGATCCCAATAGGACAGAAGACTTTGCCTCCTTGGACCTCATCTCAGGTAGTCTACTCTGACAGTAATGCTCTCATAACCTTTCTCTCAAGGTCATTCTCTATAGCCTGTTACCACGGCTCACTTGATCCAGTGTTTAGTTCTTCCTGACTCTAAATTTAGATCAAGCAACTGTAAAAACCCATGAGGTGGCGCCTCATTAACCTAGGATTCTGAGGTCTTTATTTCATGGACTGTTTGACAGCTTTTCTAGATAATAAGAAGGAAAAACACCATAATATTAATAGAACTTGCTATTACTGCTTCATAGGAACAAAGCTGCTCAATGATTCTGGAGCTGAATGGAGCCTGAACTTTATATATAAATACTAACCAACTCAGTAATATCTACTCTTTTTTTCTTTTTCCTTCCTTCCTTCCTCTCCTTCCTTCCTCTCTCCCTCCCTCCCTCCCCCTCTTCTCCCCTCCCCTCCCTTCCTTTCCCTTCCCTTTCTTTTCCTTTCCTTTCCTTCTTTCTTTTCTTTCTTTCTTTCCAGATGGAGTCTCGCTCTGTCTGCCAGGCTGGAGTGCAGTGGCGCGATCTCAGCTCACTGCAAGCTCCGCCTCCCAGGTTCACGCCATTCTCCTGCCTCAATCTCCAGAGTAGCTGCTACTACAGGCGCCCACCACCATGCCTGGATTTCTTTTGTATTTTTAATAGAGACGGGGTTTCACCATGTTAGCCAGGATGGTCTCAATCTCCTGACCTCATGATCTGCCTGCCTCGGCCTCCCAAAGTGCTGGGATTACAGGTGGGAGTCACCATGCCCAACCCCTTTCATTCTTTAAAGATGGTGCCACAGACATGCCCCTCTCAGTCTCCTGATTAAACTCCTAATTGTGCTAACATGCTCATTTATCTCAAAACTGAAACCAATTTTCTTTTTCCCAACTGAGCACGTCTTTGAGTTTAGGGCTGTTCTTGCCTTTGCAGATTAGAATTGGGTGGGTTGGTGGTTGTTGTTTTTTGTTTTTGTTAAACAATAAAAAGAAACTGGAAGGGAAAACCCAGCAATATGCTTGATTTTCTATATTCTTGTAAAATAATTTTTTCCTGTGAGTTTACATGTGAAAAGGCAATGAGTATCAATTCTTCATAAAAGTGACTGAATTACCCTGGGGCAGAGGTTGCAGTGAGCTGAGATTGTGCCACTGCATTCCAGTCTGGGTGACAAAGCAAGACTCCATCTCAAAAAAAAAAAAAAGCCATTTAATTAGGAGATGAAATGAACTGCGATAAAATAGGAAGACGTGTTCTTTAATAAACATAAGACATCTTCAAGTCTAAGTAAAATAATAACAACAACAGATTCTACACCACAGTTGTATACACTTCCAGTGAAGCTTTATGCATTCCATTCTGAGCTCCTAGCACCAGGTAAACACGAATCATAGGTGGAAATATGCCATGTTTAGCACTAGAAGCAACATCACAGTTTATTAGCAAAATAAAGCGGAAAATGGTCAGGTAAATAAATATTACAACATATAATGTACTGGTGATGAAGCTGCAATAAAGTAATATAAGTGAGATTTACTTTTCTTTTTTTTTTTTTTTTTTTTTTTTTTTTTTTTTTTACTGGGAAGGCTAGTTGTAAACATAAACATTCACATTAAACTACTAGCCCCCCAAAACCTAACCTATCTCACAAACAATAATCATCTTTTGACTATAAAATCATAAAACCTTGTACTCCATGGCTCTTTTGTCTCGATGGTTTTTCAGAGGAAAAAATGAGCTGTGATAAGTAGTTTCACAGATTTATCCATCTTGAATAGCTGCCAGTTCCGGAACCTCATACATCCTCAGAACATCTTCATAGAGCAAATAATTATGTAGGCTTCTGGGAAGCGGCAACTCGCTAATATAACTGTCAGACCGTAGACGTTCTGATTTTAGACTGGACCGAATTTCCAAACGACAAAGATGGGTCAGGGATGGAATAGTGGCTGGAGAAACAAAAAAAGCAAGGTGAAACTTTTTTTAAACACAAAGATGTAATAGTACATTAAGGGAAATTCATTTTTTTTTCTTTTTCCCAACTCTTAGTAATAAAAGTGATATATTGCTTAGAATTACTTTGAAAGAAGACTACTTGGAGTCAGTATGACCACAATAAACCTTATTTATTCTTTTCTACAGCCTTCAACTGGCTCCTCTCCCTTCAGTTGTTGGCCACACATTTAAAGTCAGTATCCAGGGCCGCAAACACTAAATGCTCAAATTCTAAAGATCTGTCAATAACTGCACTTAAGAAATGGATGAACCAACTTTAGAAATGGTAGAAGCTCACGGTAGCAAATGCTACCTTTCTCTTAATCTATTTCATTACAAATGGTTTCCAGACCTATCACATCAAGTGAATACATGTACAGCTTGCAAGTTTTCCTTTTTAACCGTAACACAGAATGAAAATTTTTAATTGGCTCTGAGAGAAAGGGAGTATTTACTGAGTGCCTTCTATGCAATAAGCCCAAATACTTCACTCAAACTCTTTTTTTAGCTTCATTAACTTCATGAGGTATATATTATCAGGCTATTGTAGAGATTTAAAAAAACAACTTTCCAAAGTCACAGAGCTAGTAAGAAGCAGAGCCAGGATTCAAACTCAGATCTATCTGAACCCAAAGCGTGTGTGTGTGTGTGTGTGTGTGTGTGTGTGTATGTGTGTGTATCTGCAAGGCACTGCAGCCAAAAGCTAATTACCAATTAAAGGACAATCCACGTGCACATAATTAAGAACTGTATGATAGGCCAGGCATGTTGGCTCACGCCTGTAATCCTAATACTTTGGGTAGGCCAGGCGTGATGGCTCACGCCTGTAATCCCAGTATTTTGGGAGGCTGAGGCGGGCAGATGACCTGACGTCAGGAGTTCAAAACCAGCCTGACCAACATGGTGAAACACCGTCTCTACTAAAAACACAAAATTAGCTTGGCGTGGTGGCACATGCCTGTAATAGCAACTACTAGGGAGGCTGAGGCAAAAGAATCACTTGAACCTGGAAAGCGGAGGTTGCAGTGAGCCGAGATCACACCATTGCACTCCAGCCTGGGCAACGAGAGCAAAACTGCATCTCAAAAAAAAAAAAAAAAGAAAATCATATGATAGCGGTTTCATTTTCCAAGATGAAAAGTGTTAAATAAAGAAGTTAATGTCTGCTTTTATGTGAATCGGACCTAAAGCCTTTTGTTAGTTCAAGAAATCTTTTATAAATCCCTGTGAAATGTAACAATGATTAACAGACCAGGATCAGAGCATCAAAGACAAGTACTATCAAGAGCACAGCTGATACCAGACCAGCTAGTCTGATTCCAGGTCTAGGGTTCTTTAAACTCTAATACCCAAAGGGCTTGAGACAAATTAATTCTCTAACATCTTCAATATCTTCCAAGCCACAGAAGTTAACTTATCATCATTTTGGTTTACTAGTTTACGTTTAGTTTATTCAGAATTAAAGAAATCACTCAAACTGGTGTTTTAAAATGCCAAATAAGAAAGCAAAAGTTATCAATTTTGTACATAAAACCTGAGTCTAAGCTGGGCATTTTCTTAAACCATGAGTCACAGATTCCCTATTATAAATAATAAGATTACAGTATCTATAGTATATAGCACATTTATTTCCAACATTTTTCATATCCATATCTTACTTAAATTTGACCCTTTTCTATAAACTTAAAGGAGAAATGATGGTTCTCACATGAAAGATGGGAATACACAGGTAAAGGGGCCACTGGACGAAGTAGCAGGAATACATACGGAAAGCACGCCCAAGCTGCAAACACCACAGTTTTCCCAAGGTTTAAGTAGATTGACTATGTTCAACTATCAAGTATAAGGAAGCCTTCTTAGGAGGATCATGAACAATAATTGGTCAGTTCATAGAAACTCACCTTAAAGCAGGTGACCAAAACACCACACATACTTTAAACATTCTAATTTAAAATGGATACATGAACCACATCTAGAATGTAACATCTTAGGCTTGCAGTTTATTTATGTATTTTTTACTCACCACTATATAAATAAGGACATAGTTTCACTTTCTTTAAGTTACAGCACGGATTTAAACGCATGTATGAAACAAGGTAAGTGCATAATCCTTCCATATTTTCACAGGCATTTCTGCTTTCAGTTGTTGTAGCCACATCTAATTCAATATCTATTTCTGTTCTGTGCTTATCTATATCAAGTCTTTTTAAAGGATTTTACTTTGCCTTAAAAGAAATAATCATTCTCTTTTCACACTCACAATTCATTAGCTTGTGCAATCTGGAATTATTCAACTACAATTGTTGGGAGCAGGCCCCCCAAAATCTGGCCATAAACTGGCCCCAAAACTGGCCATAAACAAAATCTCTGCAGCACTGTGACATGTTCATCATGGTCCTAACGCCCAAGCTGGAAGGCTGTGGGTTTACAGGGATGAGGGCAAGGAACACCTGGCCTGCCCAGGGCGGAAAACCGCTTAAAGGTGTTCTTAAGCCACAAAATATAGCATGAGCGATCTGTGCCTTAAGGACATGCTACTCCTGCAGATAACTAGCCCAACCTATTCCTTTAATCCGGCCCATCCCTTTGTTTCCCATAAGGAATACTTTTAGTTAATCGAATATCTACAGAAACAATGCTAATGACTGGTTTGCTGTTAATAAATACGTGAGTAAATCTCTGTTCAAGGCTCTCAGCTCTGAAGGCTATGAGACCCCTGATTTCCCACTTCACACCTCTGTATTTCTGTGTGTATGTCTTTAATTCCTCTTGCGCCGTCGGGTTAGGGTCTCCCTGACCATGCTGGTCTCAGCATACAATAATATGCACAACGTAATAAAAAGTTTCAGAAATAAACATAACTGCTGTTTGGTAAGCACACACCTCTGCTAGTAGGAACACTGGCATTCTAGAGTGTAGCTGGCCAGCTGCAAACACAGAGCATGCCAATAGATACAGTCAGATGGAAATGAAAGAGAACATGACAAGACTGGTTAATCCAGTGTGTGTTTTTAAAGTGAAGTTGGTGAAGGGAATTTCTACTTATATTCAGTTAGAGTTTAATAGGCATCTGTTAAATTGAATCTCTTCATTCTGCACATTCTTAGGAACATAAATACTTACTACACACCCAGAAGAAAGATAAAGGACTGCTGTGCAACCCGGAGGAGAGCTGCTCACTTGGAGATAAGGGATCCTTAATGATGCTCCAGCTTCTCAGAGTGGACAGACTACACTGGCTTAAAATTCTATAGGCTGACTGGGAAGAGTTCCTCCACATGCCCTAACACTCACTTCATGTAGCACTGAGCAGCTTGTCTAGGTTACATGACTACATCACTGGGGGTCTATCTTTAAAGCTTAATAAATCATTTGTTTATGCTAATTATGTGTGTAGAAGTTTAACCATGAGTGATCAAGCCACACTAGACCAGTTCGGCGTTTGTTAGGAGAAACTTAAGTGACTTGCCCACTGAGATGTTGCACATCACAACATAGCTGTTGTTAACTAGATCTAAATGATTTGACTCCCAGTCCAGGGTTCTTTAAATTGTGACAAGCTCAATATAATTCTCCAACATCTTCTAAACCACTGAAACTATCATAAATTTCAGAATATCTTTCCATTTAACAATAAAAAAGGAAAAGTATAGCTACTTCAGGTATTGGTTCAACTTTCAATTGCACCATTTTGGTTTTCCTTCTAAGAGTACAACAGATCACTGGCCTAATGGACAATTAGAGGTAAGAACTATGTTCAGCTGAACTGAGGGAGTCTTTCATGTGTAGATTGTTAACACAGACAATAATATGCCTGTCAGTGCCATTTTAGTTTACTATGCCAGTAAATACTAAGAGAATTTTATAACCATATATGCAATATTTCAAAGCGTACAAAATCCTTTTGAAAGTTTTAGTGACGCATAGTATTTCCAGACATGTTGCCACTAGGCTAGAAGATCAAGTCATGCCTTGAATTTATAATACAAAAAGGCCACAGAAACTGTATGTAAAACTTACTTTCATGAAAACCTATTAAAACTATATTTTAGTTTGTTGAATAAAACTCCATGTTCTTGGATTATGGCAGTGACTGTAACCTAGAAAATGATGTCTGAAACCATGCCACACTTTTAAGTCACTTTTCTGACCCAATCATTTTTATTCAGTATGTTAAACTTAGTTTATCTATAGATCTATTAGCAGACAAGTAACATTTAACTTTTAATTCCTATACAGAATTCCTCTATTTTGTTCATTTTGTTATATGTACTGGCAGAACAATCAAGATAGAAGACTACATGTTGTTATATAAAGTTTTGTTAAAATCAAAAGCAGACACAATGATCAAATTAAACAACACAATTCTTAATTCATTATGCTCATAAATGCCAACTTTACTATAGCACAAAACTATATCTATATCATACACACCCACTGTATTTTTACATTCATCTCTAGTCTGTCCTCAGGCCAATGTTCAAATGACCTATCTGCCTGAACTACATTTCTCTGGTTTCTTTGAAATGTTTTGCACATCAAATGTATTTATCTGACTTCTGAGTCATCTACTACCATTTTTATTTTCATCATTAATATATTGTCTTTCTGGTTGGCTTCCATCCTTCTGTTCCCAATTTTTCTTAATTTACTTGTGTTGTCTCTCTCTCTCACTGACTATAACTAAAACCGCTAGAGAAAACACACAAAAGACGACTACTTGAGGACTCTGAAAAATAAGTAGTAGATTAGGACATGAAGTCAAAACAACAGGAATGACCAGTATAGACGAATGACCAGTATAGAGGCAATGAATGGATTCAATGGAAAAGCACCATCTAGTAGTAACACCTGTGCTGGCGCTGACTATTAACTAGCTGTGTGACCTTGGGCAAGTCATCTAAATATTCAGACTTTCAGTTCCCCCTGCACAAAATGAGAATAATGCCTCATC